GAGGTTGCTGTGAGCTGTAATGCCACGGCACTCTACCCAGGGGGACAGCTTGAGGCTCTGTCTCAAAACAAAAAAACAAAAAAAAATAGCCAGGCGTTGTGGCAGGCACCTGTAGACTCAACTATTTGGGAGGCTGAGGCAAGAGAATCGCTTAAGCCCAGGAGTTGGAGGTTGCTGTGAGCTATGATGCCAAGCACTCTATTGAGGGTAACAAAGTGAGACTCTGTCTCAAAAAAAAAAAAAAAATTTTCTAAATGCTCTTGAACCAGAAATACAGGGATGTGGAGATAGATGTTAGCTCAGTGGTTGCTCTTCTGTGTGTTTGTATGTGTGTTGATGTGTTGGGGCAGCTATCTTTTTGCTACTGTAAGAGAATTTTGAGCATCCTGGGTGGCCTGTTGATTGGGGTGAGAATCCCAGCCATTTGAATTATAGACCTGTCCTGTCGACTATCCCCTTGGGCATATGTGAGCCTTAGTTGCCTCATCTGTAAGATAGGACAATGATACTTACCTCATAGGGGTGTTGAGAATTAAATGTGATGAGGATAGTGGCAAAAAAAAAAAAAAAGGATCCTTTAAAATTCTTTTGAATACTGTTATATAGTAACAGACACATTAACTGACATTCAATTAACATTGACTAATGAACATGGACATCAAACTAAAAGAGCCCATAACCCAAGCTAGAAAGATGGGAATGGACCATTTTATACATGGATGGGTAAAATGTCTGGACCACGGCAGGTCTTGCTAATTAGCTTCAGGGTACAACTGCGACTTAGGTTCCCCATGGCCAGTTCACTTCTCTGTGGCCACTGCTATTTTCTCAGTTGGCTTTTTACCTATTTCCTAGTGTCTAAGACCACTCAAACAACACGGCTTTCACACTCTTTCAAGTCCCAAACACAAGGAACAAGGTAGACAAGGCAGTCTTAACTTTATTGAGGGTTCTTTTGAATTAAAATGCTTTGCAGGAGAGACCACAGTCTGCAGGGAGAGCAGTTTTCCAAATGTTTCCTGACCCATGACATATAGGTTGAAATAGAATTTGTTTTATTCCCTATTTTCTTTAGTCTCAATGGCTAAGAAGTGATAGATGGAAGTGGAGAGAATGACCAAGAGGAGGCAACAATGAGGTGAGTCTTAAAGAAAAACCCAGAAAGGCCGCAATTTGAACAAGCTGGAGTTTGTTTCACAGCTGTTGGTCTTCCAATTCTAGTCAACCAGGGATAAATTAAATGCAGTTTTGCCACCTCAGATGACAGGAGGAGGGGTTTTGCAGAAATCTGGCCTGGTCTGCATTATAGCTGCTAAAATTACCAGAGGAGATTTGTGAACAGCCTGTCTATCCCTGTCCCTTCATTCAAAGGGAATCCCAGGCTTCACCCCACAGAGCAGTTCATCAGGCTTCATTTATGCTTCATTTACGCTTCTTCTCCTGTGTGCTGGTGAACCAAGAGTCTAGAAGCTTCTTGCTGTAGTATAATTGCCAGGCATGCACTTGGACTGCCAATACCAACACCAGGTACATGACGGAGACAGCAGAAAACCCAAAAAGGAAGCGGTAGGCCTTGCCATGGCGGTAGAGTTGCTGTGCAGCAGGGAACATCTCCATGCTGCCATAAATGAGAGGAGCGATGGAAAAGAGCCCCATGCTGATCATAGAAAGCACCAGGTAGCTAATGTTGTTGCGGGGGAAGGAGAGAAGGCCGAAGAAAGAAGGCAAAATGCTCAGCAAATACGGGTACTCCCACTGATAAGGCATGGCCACCTGATCATGCGACAAGAGCCTCAGGTGTCCCACACTCATCTTGGCAACCAGCAGCAGCCATATGACCAGATGTACGTAGATCAGCTTCTTGATTTCATACTTGAGGGTCACACTGTGGAGCAGAGCAGAGGGAGAAGTACCTTTCATTCAAATTTTTCTGACCACCAACCATATGAGTGGCAACTATACTGCACACTGGGATATACATTTGAATAAAATAGCCCAGAGCAGTGGTTCTCAACCTTCCTAATGGCTCGACACTTTAATACAGTTCCTCATGTTGTGGTGATCCCCAACCATAAAATTTTCGTTGCTACTTCCTAACTGTAATTTTGCTGTTATGAATCGTAATGTAAATATCTGATATGCAGGATGTATTTAGATGACCCCTGTGAAAGGGGTCATGACCCTCAGGCTGAGAACCACTGGCCCAGAGGCTGGGCCCAGGAACAGAGGAGGAAAACAATTAGAAAATGAAGTGAAACAGTTCTCGTAAATGTATGTCCAGGATATATAGGTTCATACAAAGGAGGAATCAATTCTGCTTGGGATGGAATGTCAGAGGAGGCTGTATGTTAGAGGAAAGTAATATGGCTTGGCGCCCGTAGCACAGTGGTTACAGCGCCAGCCACATACACGGAGGCTGACGGGTTCGAACCCAGCCAGGCCCAGGCCAGCTAAAACAATGACAACTGCAACAACAAAAAATAGATGGACGTTGTGGTTGGAGCCTGTAGTCCCAGCTACTTGGGAGGCTGAGGCAAGAGAATTGCTTAAGCCCAAGAGTTGGAGGTTGCTGTGAACTATGATGCCACGGCACTCTACCAAGGGTGACAAGAACTCTGTCTCAAAAAAAAGAGGAAAGTAATATCTGTGCCAGGCTGTGAAGGATGAGTGAAAGTGGGCATTCTATGCAGAGGAAATAGCATGCAGACAAAAAGGCATAAGCATTTGTGTTCCAGGAAGCAAATGGCTGAGTGTGGCAAGAACACGTTGTGGGTGGGAGAGTAGTGGGATATAGAACTGCAAAGACTATGAAAGGAGAATAATGACTCAGAGAGCTGCGTTTAGAAAGATGGCTTTGTATCCTGTAGCCTGAGGAAGAAAGGTATTGGGAGTGAGGAAAGCAGCTCATGCTGCCCATGGTTCTCCAGCTAGATTTTTCTTTTTTTTTTGAGACAGTCTCACTACGTCACCCTCAGTAGAGTGCTGTGAAATCACAGCTCACAGCAACCATCAGTTAACTCTTGGGCTTAAGCGTTTCTCTTGCCTTAGCCTCCTGAGTAGCTGGGACTATAGGCACTTGCTATTTTTGGTTGCAACTGTCATTTTGTTTAGCAGGCCGTGGCTGGGTTCGAACCCACCAGCCTCAGTGTATGTGGCAAGCACCCTACTCACTAAGCTACGGGCCTGAGCCTCCAGCTAGATTTTTCTTCTAAGGCAGCAGTTCTCGGCTCGGCGCCTATAGCTCAACCGGCTAAGGCGCCAGCCACGTACACCTAAGGTGGCGGGTTCGAATCCCCAGCCCGGACCCGCCAAACAACAATGATGGCTGCAACCAAAAAATAGCCGGGCGTTGTGGCGGGCGCCTGTGGTCCCAGCTACTTGGGAGGCAGAGGCAGGAGACTCGCTTGAGCCCAGGAGTTGGAGGTTGCTGTGAGCTGTAATGCCATGGCACTCTGCCCAGGGGGACAGCTTGAGGCTCTGTCTCAAAAAAAAAAAAAAAAAAAAGGCAGCAGTTCTCAACCTGTGGGTCACGACCCCTTTGTAACAAAGAAAATACACATACTGCATGTTAGATATTTATATTATGATTCATAATAGTAGCAAAATTACAGTTATGAAGTAGCAATGAAAACAATGTTATGGTTGGGGGTCACCACAACATGAGGAACTGTATCAAAGGGTCTCAGCATTAGGAAGGTTGAGAACCACTGATGGAAAGGAAGCACCTATTTCTTTTCCTCTTCTCTCAGGTCCCAAATGTATCCTTCTCACATCCCCAAGGGCAATGTTTCTGCTCTGGGCAGGCATGAAAACACCTTAAGTAGGGGCCCAAAGACGAGAATGAAATGAGAGTTCAAAGAGCTCATCATTCTTCAAAATTATGGAGGGAAGGACGCGAAGAACATTCTGGGAGAGTTCCATGGGTTAAAGGAAGAAAAATATTTTTAAATTTTTATTTTAAAATATTTATTATAGAAAAAGTGACAGGAAAAATGATCAATCACCTCTAGACTTCAAAGCTCCACGAAAGCAGGTAACAGTTTTGCTTTTTTGGCTCATTTTTTTTTTTTTATTTAAAGTATAACATGCACACAAGATAGGGTGACAGGGTCTGCTTTTGCTACTATAGCCTCAGTGCCTTACACGATGCACGACAGGTAGAAGCTTAAGAAGTATGGAAGGCAGAAATATCTTCTACGTGGGAATGTTTAAAAAATTCATTTTAGCCAGGGGAGGCTGCCTTTTACCCTCCTCCGCATCCCCCAAACGTCTGAAAATATAGCAGCAATCATGTATCACGTGGTAGCCCTATGCTATCTTTTCCCCCAAAACCTAAAGGGCAGGTTATTTCCTCCCTTTATAGATGAGCGGACTGAGACTTAATTAGAAATTAGATTTCCAGGCTAAGAGAACAGGACCTGGCGCCTCCTGAGCTCTCGGGGGGCTGGATCCCCGCAAAGCACCGGGTGAAGAAAGGGGTGGCGCTGGCCGGGGCGGCGGGGCTTCCCCGGAGGGGGACAGGCCCGAGGCAGTCCCCGGAGGAGGGGACCTGGCAAGTGGGCAGGGAACTGGCTGGGGAGTAGGACTCCGAGGCTGGGCCGACGTCTCTCCAGTCGGGGATAAGGCCTCCGAGCTCCTCGCCTCACTTCCTACCTCATCTGGTAGTGCTTGGCGACGCGCTCCCGGTGCTGAAAGTCGCTGCCGTCGGTGCCAGCCGCCCGCGGGCCTGCCCGAGATGCCATTCTAAGCGCCCAGAGCCCCCGGGCCCCTCACCAGGTCTCGCTACGGCTACAACAGCGCCAAACCTCCGAGGAGCCCTATTCGCGCGGCCACAGCTCTGACACCAGCGCCGCGCGGCGCCCTGGAGAGCACTTCCGGCCTCTCTGTCCCTGGAGGACCGACTCTGTGGTCGCTCCTCCGCGCGCACGCGCCCTGGTTCCCTCAGCCCCGTCCCGCCCCTCGCCAGGGCCCCGCGCGGGAAGTTTGTTTCTTATTTTTTTTCTGTCTACCGGAAAAACAGGCTTCTTTTTTTTTTTTTTTTTTTTTTTTAGACATAGTCTCACTTTGTCGCCCCCGGTAGAGCGCTATGGTGTCATAGCTCACAGCAGCCTCTAACCCTTGGCCTGCTTCAAGTGGTCCTCTTGCCTTAGCCTCCCAAGTAGCTGGGACCACAGGTGCCCGCCAGAACGCCTGGCTATGTTTTCTTAGACACGTGGTCTCGCTTTTGCTCAGGCTGGACCCGAACTCGTGAGCCAAGACAATCCACCCTCCTCGGCCGCTCAGTGTGCTGAGATTACAGGTGCGAACCACCGCGCCCAGCCTTCAGTCTTCCTTTCTTTTTCTTTACTTTTCTTTCTTTTTCTTTCTTTTTTTTTTTTTTTTGAGATAGAATTTCAAGTTGTCCTGGGTAGAGCGCTGTGATATCACAGTTCACAGCAACCTCCAACTCTTGGGCTTAAGCGATTCTCTTGCCTCAGCCTCCCAAGTAGCTGGGACTACAGGCGCCCGCCACAGTGCCCAGCTATCTTTTGGTTGTAGTTGTCATTGTTGTTTGGCAGGCCCGGGCTGGACTTGAATCTGCCAGCTCTGGTGTACTTGGCTGGATCCCTAGCCGCTGAGCTACAGCCGCGGAGCCCAGTCTTCCTTTCTTAAGCTCTAATATGACTTTATGACAGGGCTACCTTCACTTCACAGTTGGGGAAACTGATCCTTGGAGCACAGTTTTATCTTTTTCCTCTACATCACTTATCACATTAACTGCCATGTGAGTTGTATTTAACTCACACTATCTTTGAGTCTGGGGCTTCGTGAATCGTATGTGATTTGCACATCTCTTAATCTCTTAAAATAAAACACCATGGCCCCAAGGGAAAAAATTTCTAATGTGGCTGTCAGTGCAAAAAGAAAAGGGTAAACTTTCCAGTGAGAAAACCCAGTGCCACCCGCTTAACCACACTTGGTTAAGTTAACCGGACCAATAATGAGACAAGATGACACACTATACCTCCCAATACACTGAGCATACAGCATCCCTTCTGTGATATTTCTGCCAAAGATGCTTACCCGAATCTAATCATGAAGAAATGAAAGGCAAATCCAAACTGAGGGACATTCTACGAGATAGCTGCACTGACTAAAAATGCCAAGACTGGCTGGGCTCAGTGGCTCGCTTCTGTAATCCTAGCACTTTGGGAGGCCGAGGCTGGTGGATGGCTCGAGCTCAGGAGTTCAAGACCAGCCTGAGCAAGAACTAGACATCATCTCTACTAACAATAGAAAAAGTGGGCGTTGTGGTTGGTGCCTATAGTTCCAGCTACTCAGAGGCTGAGACAGGAGGATCAGTTGAGCCTAGGAGTTTGAGGTTGCTGTGAGCTCTGACACTCTACCCAGAGCAACAGTGAGACTCTGTCTCAAAAACAAAACAAAACAAAAACCAAAAAAGGGAAACTGTCAAGGCTACGAAAGAAAAAGAAATTATTTCCAAATAAAATCTTATCTGTAGAGACAGTAGAATGATGGTTGCCAGGGGCTGGGGAGGGGGCAGTGACAGGGCTTGCAATGACTGGGAAATTACTGTTTAATGGGTGCAGGGTTTCGGTCTGGGAAGATGAAAAAGTCTTGCGGTCAGGAGACACAACGATAAGCATGTGCTTAATGGTGCTGAACTGTACCCTTAAAAAGAATTAGGATGGTATGATGTTATGCATGTTTTACCACAATAAAAAAATAAAAATTTAAGGAAGTGATGTTATCTGAAAAAAAAAATGTACTCAAAGGATAGAAATTTACTAGGTACTCCTGTGGGTGGAGAAAGAATTCTTGAAGTTTAGGATGGAAAGAAGTACAAAGTTTATTTATTTTCCAGAGAGAGAGAGAAAGAGAGAGAGAAGCTATGGCAGAAAGGGAGTAAGTGCTGGGTGATTCAGGAAAAAGTGGTTTTTT